CAATGCCTCTAACATTCTTCTACCCAGAATACGAGGGGAAGAGGACGTCGCCTCAGGCATATATGAAGGAAGCGATCAAAAGACAACAAGAGCTAAACGAGCTATGCAGGAGGAACACGGCGCAAGCGCAAATGAGACAACGCAAGAACTATGACGAAAAAATATTACAAGCAAAACCATATGAAGTGGGCCAGTACGTGTGGGTCTTCCAAAATGTCATACAGCCCAAGGGAACAAAGAAACTACTCAAGAAGTGGAGGGGACCATTCATGATAACGGAAGTACATCAACAAGGACGGTTCTACCGCTTGAGTACTGGGCGAGCAGCACATTACGAAAATCTGAAGCCTCACGTCCCGTCCCCGGAAGACTGGTGCCTACCGAAAGACATGGAGGGTCTCGAGTACCTGGTGGTAGAGCCAGCGTGTGAAGTGAATGAAAAGGGCACCAGAGAGAAAAATGATGGCAATGAAAACTTGAGCTTGGACGACAATGAAAAGATAGAGGTGGAGTCTGAAGCAGGATCGTTTGCAGAAGAAGACTGGAACGACCCGGAGCAAGATGAGGTGCCGAAGTGGATGGAGCCAGATCGACCAATATCACTGGGAACCAGAACTGGCAATCGTAAACGGACGGGTATGAGATACAACAGATACGGGGATGACTTCTTGATTGACAAGATACAGCCAGACAAATTGGGCGAGGAATTACTGAGTGCAGGCGAACTGGAAGCCGAAGAGGAATGGCAGGTCATTGATGATGGTGGACACTATCCGCAGGAAGATTACTCGACACCAGAAATGGAGACGGACCTCGAACAGAGCGAGATAGAGAGGAGGGAGAACACGAACTTGAGGATACTAGAGTGGATACGCGACGTCAAAGACGAAGGCCATGGAGGACAGAGTATCCAGCAAGTCGACGTGTCAGCGGAAAAACACAAGAAGTCAGAAGACCCTCTCTTCGGCTGGACGGCGACAGACAGGCCGCTGGACATTCCACCGGACAATTCAGACCCGACAACATCGACGGGGACGTCGATAAATATTTTTGTCCGGGGAGTGGGGGTAGGACTTACCCACACCGAAAATTTGATGATAAAGAAGCTCAAGGAAGTGAGAGAAACAAGCGAATTAGAACTGGAAGAACAAGAGCCAGAGCCTAACATAGGCCGGAATTTCAAAACGAATTTTGAAATACCCAATCAGTACTCGGAAAACATCATGATAACAGATAGTGACTTCATCCTGTCAAACAGAACGAGCGCGATCTGCATCACGGCTGACATGAGTTTCAAATCAAGACTGGAAGCTGACTTCAAGAGAGAATACCAGAACGTAGAGTTTCTGTTCAGACAGAGACCAGGACTGGGAGGGATGGCAGCGCTCCCACCATCAGTAGCAAGGGTCCCGGGGAAATACCTGTGCTTCCTAGTGACGAGGGTCAATGACAGGAACACAATTGATCCCGAACACGTAATGTTGGCACTAACAAGACTACGAGACTTCATGATTGAAAGAGGGATAACAGAGGTCTCAATGCCGGTGTATGACCCAAACAGGGGCAAACTGAGCCCAAGGGAATTGTACGCTATCATACATGTAGTCTTTGCAGAAACTGAGATAGTGGTGTATCTTCACAAAAAGTACTACTTGAGCATCGCCTGAGTCGGGTACACGGGGGTGTCGAGTCGGGTGTGAGGGAGGAGTCTTGAGCTAGGTACTGGGGTACAAAACATGTAAGGGATCTTAGGGGTGATTGGCATGACAATTATTATTTTAAATGATTGATGGTGCTAAAACATAAAATGTATCTGCATGTTTTTAGAAAATTTCAATTGAACTATTTTAGTAGGGCGAAAAGGAGAGGGTTTTTAATCATAAAAGTAATGGGGTTTTCTGGTTAGAGACACAGCTTGTCGGTCTTAAAAATCGGGTGTTATTTTCAGATTGATTTGTTGAACTCACATTGACTACTCACCTATATTCAATTGAAGGAAGAAAACGATAACTCAAAAAGATAACTCAAGTTGCTCAGGTAAAACTCAAGTTGCTCAGGCAAAACTCAAGTTGCTAATACTCAAGGACTCAATTGAAATTACAGAAATGGCAGATCGATTCTGGAAGTCCATGCCATCGGCTCTGAAAAAGCCCACACTTGACGGATTGTACAGGCGGCTGAGGGACCTGGATTATACTCAAGTGGACGAGAGAATGGCAGTGATGCTGAATGCCATCCTCCAATTGGAGGAACAGGGGGAGTGTCGGGAGTCTGCGACGGATGCGGTTTTGATGGTAGGCTACACCAATGATGGAGTGTCCAATCAAGAACAAACCAGATGGCTGTCCTGGAACGTGGATGGGGCGATAAGGGGGTTCGATTTGGCGAGGAACCCTGGCCTGAACAACAATACGGAGTATGGCGCGGGGGTCAGTTTATCCGGACGTCAGTGCCATGAAGAGAGAACTCGAGAGGACCCAGCGGGAAAGGAACAAGGCGAACCTCGACCGGGATCAAGCGGTGCTTGAGAGGGATCAAGCGCGGAGAGAACTGGACATGATGAGAGCTGAACAGCTACAGGCAGAAAGGGTGCGGGAGAATGCCGCGAATTGTGAGCAGCTGAAGCAGGCTCTCGAGAGAGATCAGGCAAAACTTGAGAGGATCCAGCGACAACAACGCGAGCTCGATATGCAGAAAGGGGCTAGGCCCAAAGAACGGGTAGTGACTGGCTCAAGGCCAGAGTCACGCATGGAAGTAGATGAAGCTCCTAGGTCGAAGGGACGATTCAACCTCGACCGTGCGGCTCAAGAACATATGAACGAGGGGCTGGAGGTATGGATACCGCCCGAATCAGCGTCCTCCCTGCGTGTCAAAAGTGGTTCCTAGATGATCTCGAGAGCTTGAGAAGAAGGAGTGACCCAGAAGAATCTACCAATAGAAGAAACTTCAGCATAGCCTCAAAGTTCATTGATGGGGTAAAGAGTGATGACTTGAGAACGATGTTAGCAACGTATTACACATTGTCGAAAGATAATGCGCCAACTCCAGAAGAGATGAGGCAGAAGTCAAGGGAATACATGCTGATGAAACCCAAGAAATACTCGTACTCAGACAACAGGAACACCCAAGGGGGGAGTCAGCCACAGAGGTCGCCATGGTACAAGCCCAGAGATGACATGGACAAACGCAGGTCGTGTGCTAACTGCGGGTCAGTTGATCATCATGTGGCGGATTGCACGACATACAAACAGGGCATGAAGAGTTTGTGATATGCACCTGATGAGGAAGATATGAGTCAGATGGAAGAATACGAGTTCTATAGCGGCTTGATCACCAAAATAGGTGCAAGATGCTTCTTCTGCAACCAAGAAGGGCACTTCAGGATGGACTGTCCGTTGTTTTGGGAAGCGGTCAAGAATCAGAGTCATCCGAAACACAAGTTGGCGCTAGCAGCGGTGCAGAACCAGAGAAACAGACAAGGTGAATTTGAGACGAAGAAACTTGAGGGACCAAACGTAGAGCTACCAACGAAATCAATGAAAACTGTAACACAATGTGGTAGTGCAGCAGAGGCCACGGCGAAGAAAGCCCCAGGAATAGATTACGAGAAGGCGGCAGCGGAGGCCATCAACAAAGTGAAGCAGGATCTGGCAGCGAAAGAAATAGAACAACGACTAAAGCAGGAGATCGAAAAGCAGAATTTCAACGAAGCATTAACTGGATCGAAGCCAGCACCAGAGGCTGTATCGGGCTCGACAAAGACTGGAAATTGTAACACTGTAAAGATGGTGACAGGAAAACCATTCGGCATATCAAAAATCGGGGCTAGAATAATGTCGATAATCACAGTGGGCGGCCACGAGGTAACCAGAAACTTGAGCGAACCGAGCGACCAGACAATAATGCACATTGATGTGTACGCAGATTACTTGAGTTTAATAAGCCCACAATCGACTTCTAGAGCATTGAGAGCACTACTCACGCGAGGGGGTAGCAAGTCGGTACGTGTTGATAACAGATACACAGAAGCTTATGGTCCACATGAGGTGATGTTAAATATAGATGGAATCAACATCTATACCAAAACAATGATAACATGTGATGAAGACCTAATTGGGCAAATCTACGTAGGGAAGGAAGAGTTAGAGGTGAGATCGATTGGACACTGTGCCATGCTTGAAGAAGATGCGATGCACATCGGGACAGAGGCAGATGTGACAGGGCACGTGCTAGACATAAGTGGCAAGAAGACTCAGTTACGTGGGTTACTTGATACGGGAGCGGTCTTGAGTGTCATACCAATCGAAACTTGGGAACGAATGGGCTTCAACAAAGATGACTTGATAGATTCGAGAATACGGTTGTCGGCTGCGAACAAAGGGGCCCTGCGCGTGTTGGGCAGAACGCCGATAATAGCGCTCAATCTGGGGGAACGTAACCTGTGGATGAGTTTTCTTGTAGTAGAAAACCTAGATGAGTCTGACCAATTTATTTTAGGCAGAGACTTCATCAGGAACTTTGATATAGCGATTGATCTAAACAACGCAATGTTCAGGATACGGAACCCGGATAGGAGGTACGCAATCAAACCGGTAAATTTAATAATAGCAAATGAAAGCAAAGCACCGGTGTTCTTGAGTAGGAGGGTGAGGCTAAAGGCGAATGAAGCGGCAATCGTAGGCTTGCGGATGAAAAATTACAATGAATTAAGTGACAATAAGCAAGTGTGTATAGTTCCGAATCCTAATAGTCAAAGTGCTGCTGTTTTAGGAAGATCATTCTCGAACACGAAGAGCGGCCTCTGCGTCAGTGTCTTGTTGACTACCCTTGATATACCGATCACGATACAGAGAGGAAGGAAACTGGGATATGCTTTACCGGTTAAAACTCGATATGAAACAATTGAGAACTGAAAACCGAATGAAGTTGTTGATTGTCCCAATCACAGGGACAAAATTTGTATCTTGAGACGATTGCAGAAAATAAAAGATTCTTCAGGTCTTATTAAATCACTTAAGTCAGAAACGGACGATGGGCTGTCGAGCTGTTCGAACTTTCCAGAGCGACCCACACTAGATGAATTGCAAACTGATAAACCGGTTCTGCCGGAGATTGAACATTTGAGGGGCAAACTGAAAGATGAACAGCTCGAAGCCATCAAGGACGTACTAGAGCGGAACGAAGAAGTTTTTTCGAAGCACAAAGCGGATATCGGGTGTTGTAATTTCGTTGAGCATGAAGCAGAACTTGAGGAGAACGCGGTACCGCACAGGGAGGGGGCGAGGCGCATGACCCCGCACAAATCGGAGGCGTGTAGAAAAGAGATCGAAACGCTACTAGAGTATGACATGATAGAACCATCCAAGTCACCGTGGGCGTGTGGAGTAGTGATGGCCAAAAAGAAAGGCGACCAGTTGAGGTTTTGTTTTGACTTTCGATACCTGAACTCCGTCACGGTGAAGGATGCCTATCCCATACCTAAGGATTGATGAGAGCCTCTCGAAGTTAGGTGATGCAAAATTTTTTACGACTCTTGATTTAGGCTCGGCCTTTTGGCAGGTACCACTACGGAAGAAGGACAGGGACAAGACAGGGTTTGCCTGCGAGTTGGGTCTGTTTCAGTGGAAACGGATGCCGTTTGGACTTTGCAATGCCACAGCCACGTTTCAGCGATTGATGGCACACGCGCTGATAGGCGTGACAAAGAAGTATGGCAATCTGGTAATGTGCTACGTGGATGACGTGGTAATAGCAACGCCAACACTAGAAGACCACATTGAGAGACTGGACGAGGTGTTCGCGTGCATGAAAAGATCGGGGCTAAAGTGTAAACCATCAAAGTGCGAGATACTCAAGGACTCAGTAAAATACTTGGGCAGGATGGTAGACAAGCACGGCATCAGACCTGATCCAGACGCCGTGGAAGCAGTCCTAACCTGGAAGTTACCGAAGACGGAACACCAGTTGATGAGCTTCCTGGGCTTCGCTAACTACTACAGAGAGTTCATCAAAGGCTATGCGGACAAGGTGTACCCGATGCAACAATTGATGAGGCACAAGGGCAAGAGGTTCACATGGAACAACGCAGCAGAAGAGTCATTCAAGAGGATAAAGAAAGAGCTATGCGAGGCACCAGTACTAGGGATGCCGACTGAGAAGGGGATGTACGTGCTGGACACGGATGCATCGGTAGTTGCAATTTCAGGAATTCTCCATCAGGAACAAGAATGGAATGGGAAGACAGTCTTGAGACCAATAGCGTACGGGAGCAAAGTCCTAAGTGACACAGAAATGAAGTACGGAGCACCGAAAGCAGAGATGTTCGCAGTGGTCACCTTTGTCGAGAAATACAGGGCATACCTAGGCAGTGAGCCCTTCAAGCTGCGAGTCGACAATCGAGCACTAAGCTGGCTGAAAACGTACTCAATGGACCAAAGTTACATTGGGAGGTGGATAGTTCGCTTGGACGGATACAACATGATAATTGAGCACAGAACACGGGATAAACATCAAAACGCCGACAGCTTGAGTAAGAAGACGGAGTTCTACGAGAGACAAGAACAAAGAGAGGCAGACAGACCTGAAATCAAAGAGGGCTTCTCCTTCATGGACAAGGAAACGTACGACAGTCTTCCTCTCACAAGATGGCTGGACAAATCAGGCAAACCGATTGAAGATCATCCCGAATTACCAAAAGAGCCTCTTGAAAAAACCATCTTGAAGAAGAACAGAAGGATCCCGATAGAGGTAATACTCAAGTCGAAGATCGTGAGGGAAACACTTAAGGCGAAAGGCTATGATCTTAACCAGGTAGAAGCAGGAGCTGCACAGATAGATGATGACTTAATGAGGTTGCTCGAGAAACTATCAGATGATAAGCCCGTGATCCAAGAGAAGGGTCAGGAGGGACCGGAACTAACTATACTTCGGAGAAAAGAAACAGCGAACAATACTGACTCCTCAAAAGGAAGCGTCACTGATAGCAAAGATGTCGTGCGATCACTAGTTAACAAAATCCCCGAAAATATTCTGGAGCAGACAAAAGTCAGGAAAAAGAAAGTGACATTCAAAGAAGGAACTGAACATCTGGGACTAGATCAAGAGTCCGGGGAGTGGTCCAGGTTCACAGAAGAAGAGGAACCCGGAAAAGGAAAATTGTCCGGGGAGCGTGAAGAATGGGATGAAGACTCGGATGAGAGCAGCGAAGGCCAAGACAGTCTGTGCATGATATTAGCGGAAGAGAAGACAAGGCACCACGACAGGGAGTTACAAACTGACCCATCTTCAGGAACGTACAATCTGGACATACAAGAGATAAGAGGTGGTGAAGAACTTGAGAGAATAGCGGTTTCAAGAAAGCCATTCAGGGAACTATCGTGCAACTCAAACGTCAGAACGAATCTGGTACCAGAAGACGACATGAAAATCGTGAAAAGGATGATATGCGTGAAACTGAGTGACGACATCCACAGCCCTGGTGAGATGAATGGACAGATCATGGCGCTAAAGGAGCATGTCAAGGCGAGATATAGGCTGTCAGACCTAATAAGAGCCCAGAAGAATGACAAAATGACAAGTAACCTCTCCAAATGGATCCAGTCGGGGGTCAAGGAGAAGGGGGAACTTGAGGAAGACAGCTACAAGACCTCGAGCCAGTTCTATAAAGAAAAGAAAGACTTACTTTATCACACAGCTGATGGGGTGGTAGCGTGCAAGAGGAGAGATGAGGAAAAGATATTACACAAACACAACCTCATCATACTACCACAATTGTACCAAATGGAGGTGCTTTTCAGATCACACGACCAGATGGGCCACCAGGGGATAGACAAAGTACAACAAAGGATACTTCACAGGTTTGATTGGCCAGGAATGAGAAAAGCTTGCGAGAGATGGGTGAATGCCTGCCTGGCATGTCTCCAGGTAAAAGACCCAAGGAAGATGAAGTTTCCCCTCAAGTCCGTTGAGAGCTCAGAGTTCAATGAAGTGGTGCAGATAGACCATCAAAAATCTGCATGACGGAGTCGGGATATAACCAGATACTGGTTATAATAGATCACTTCACAAAGCTGGCGGAAGCGGTCCCGTGCCAAACAGCCTCGGTCGAGGAGACATGCGATCATTTGATAACGCATTGGATATCGCGGTATGGTTGTCCAATGACTTTCCAGTCGGACAACGGCAAAGCTTTTGTGGGGGACTTTACAAAAGAATTGATGAAGAGATCGCACATTGCTCAAGCACACTCGACGACCTATCATCCACAGACCAATGGGTTGGTAGAGAGACAGAACAGGACACTGGTCAACATGTTAAGGGTGTACTGCTCAAGATACATGACGGACTGGGACAAATACCTGCCACAGGTAGTAGGAGCCTATAACAGTACACAGCACTCAACGACGGGCATCAGTCCTTTCATGATGTTGACGGGCAGGGAGAGGGCAATGCCTCTAACATTCTTCTACCCAGAATACGAGGGGAAGAGGACGTCGCCTCAGGCATATATGAAGGAAGCGATCAAAAGACAACAAGAGCTAAACGAGCTATGCAGGAGGAACACGGCGCAAGCGCAAATGAGACAACGCAAGAACTATGACGAAAAAATATTACAAGCAAAACCATATGAAGTGGGCCAGTACGTGTGGGTCTTCCAAAATGTCATACAGCCCAAGGGAACAAAGAAACTACTCAAGAAGTGGAGGGGACCATTCATGATAACGGAAGTACATCAACAAGGACGGTTCTACCGCTTGAGTACTGGGCGAGCAGCACATTACGAAAATCTGAAGCCTCACGTCCCGTCCCCGGAAGACTGGTGCCTACCGAAAGACATGGAGGGTCTCGAGTACCTGGTGGTAGAGCCAGCGTGTGAAGTGAATGAAAAGGGCACCAGAGAGAAAAATGATGGCAATGAAAACTTGAGCTTGGACGACAATGAAAAGATAGAGGTGGAGTCTGAAGCAGGATCGTTTGCAGAAGAAGACTGGAACGACCCGGAGCAAGATGAGGTGCCGAAGTGGATGGAGCCAGATCGACCAATATCACTGGGAACCAGAACTGGCAATCGTAAACGGACGGGTATGAGATACAACAGATACGGGGATGACTTCTTGATTGACAAGATACAGCCAGACAAATTGGGCGAGGAATTACTGAGTGCAGGCGAACTGGAAGCCGAAGAGGAATGGCAGGTCATTGATGATGGTGGACACTATCCGCAGGAAGATTACTCGACACCAGAAATGGAGACGGACCTCGAACAGAGCGAGATAGAGAGGAGGGAGAACACGAACTTGAGGATACTAGAGTGGATACGCGACGTCAAAGACGAAGGCCATGGAGGACAGAGTATCCAGCAAGTCGACGTGTCAGCGGAAAAACACAAGAAGTCAGAAGACCCTCTCTTCGGCTGGACGGCGACAGACAGGCCGCTGGACATTCCACCGGACAATTCAGACCCGACAACATCGACGGGGACGTCGATAAATATTTTTGTCCGGGGAGTGGGGGTAGGACTTACCCACACCGAAAATTTGATGATAAAGAAGCTCAAGGAAGTGAGAGAAACAAGCGAATTAGAACTGGAAGAACAAGAGCCAGAGCCTAACATAGGCCGGAATTTCAAAACGAATTTTGAAATACCCAATCAGTACTCGGAAAACATCATGATAACAGATAGTGACTTCATCCTGTCAAACAGAACGAGCGCGATCTGCATCACGGCTGACATGAGTTTCAAATCAAGACTGGAAGCTGACTTCAAGAGAGAATACCAGAACGTAGAGTTTCTGTTCAGACAGAGACCAGGACTGGGAGGGATGGCAGCGCTCCCACCATCAGTAGCAAGGGTCCCGGGGAAATACCTGTGCTTCCTAGTGACGAGGGTCAATGACAGGAACACAATTGATCCCGAACACGTAATGTTGGCACTAACAAGACTACGAGACTTCATGATTGAAAGAGGGATAACAGAGGTCTCAATGCCGGTGTATGACCCAAACAGGGGC